TCCCTTCCCCCAATCTTCAGCGCTCAGTGTGCCCCACCCTCTTTCCCATGTGTATTTATTGTTCTTATTGCTTATTACTCAGTTTCTCTTTTTTCCCTGGGTGGGGGTCATTCTGTCCAGGGAGCTATGCTGATCTTGCCCAGGGTTGTCTGTGGAAGTACCGTGTACCGCTTAGCTCACCTTGTCCACATCTTCCCAAGCCGTCTGGGCACGGGCGACTCTAAGGACCACTTCTAAGAGAGCTTTCATGTTGTCAAAGTTTTCATCTCAAACTCTGAGATTCTTTATGTGTACCTCTTTTGTTCCCTTTTCACTTTTCCAGACCTGCCTTTTTCTGTGAAAATTTTATTCAGTGGAATTTGAAAATTATCATATATTATAGAATCCAGTGGGTTGGAGTGTGTGTTCGCCCATGGCCCCTGCTTGTCTCCACGTTCAAGGTCACCTCTCTCTCTCTCTCTCTCTGCTGTGCTCATTTCAGTAGCCCACATACTACTTCTGAGAAGTAGTCTCTCACTAGTCATGCCTCATTTGGTTCTCAGCTGACTTACATTCCTTTCTTCTGTGATTTTGTAAGATGTCATCTATAGAAACTTTACTTTATGTATTTCTATATCTTGGCTCCCGTCAATATGCTATGTTATGCAGATACAAAAAAGGGAGTTTTGCAAAATCAACCAACAAACAAAAATTAGCATTTTTCCCCCTGTTATATTACCTTGTATATTATCCTTCTGGATCATGAAAAAAATATTTTCAAAGGAGGCTACAGTGATTACATTGATCTGAAGTCTGGCAGTCACTTAGAAATTAGATTCCTGCTCAGTTATGTATTCTTTTGTCCCTATCCTAAATTTGATCTCAACTTCTTAAAATAAATGTCAGCCTGCTTGCTTCAGTCTTCTGCTGTACCAGCGTACTGTCTCATGTTCTGCTTTAATAACAGAAAGAGTGAGAAGTCTCTACTTGCATCATCAATGAAAATTTCTGTCTGTATGATTCCCTTGACCTGAGCTAGCATTTACCTTCTTCCAGTTCAATGCAGAATGTGGATTATTGAGGGCTATGCTGACTTTGAAGAGAAGCCAACAGTTTTATACCCTAAATATGATAAATCAAAAACTTTGCTAGTCTCTTAGAAATGTGATATTGTGACACCAGCTCTAAGCTGCTTTGTTTCACCCTTTAGCATGTACTCTTTCAAATACATGACACAAGAATGACTTGTCTAGTTGACAAGAAAGGGGGTCAGGTGCAGCTTGGAGACCAGACCATCCCTATATTCCTGGTGTTTTGTCAGGCCCTCAGGGACTGTCTGGGAATATACTTAACAACTGTCAATGATGTTGAAGATATATTTTAAGTTGATTTGAAGTCTTCAAAGTTCTGAACTCTTCCTCCTTCTGCTGTAAATTAGGGAAAATAACATTAACTTATTTTTTGTTACTTAATGATCAAAATATCTTCAATAGTAATCAAGATTGAACTGCTTTACATTAAATTCCTTTTGGTAGCTCAAAGTGCCTTGGAGAAGTTTCAGTGTACTTTTTTATAGTCATATCCTGGGACTTTAGTTCAACTTGTGATTGTGGGGGAGATCATTGGCAGTGTTTTGTACAGTTGGCTTTGAAAGACTGAAGCAGGAACTTCCCACAAATGAGGAACAAGGAACTGTTATAGTCAGCGTTCTAACTTTCTTTCTAAAACTTTAGCAACGATGCTTACTAATGATGCTTAACAATGTTTACAACTGATATTAATTGTGGAATAATTTAGGAAGTATGAGGCATTTCTTAGGTAGTCCATATTTCAAGATAAACTTCATACATGTATCTTAGACCAATTCTTTCCTTTGCTTGGTTGAAATTATTGTGGAACTTTCTCAGGTTTTTTTTCTGCTCTGATTGTTGCACTAAATTTCCTAAATATCACATGTTCATTAGTGTATGTAAGTATATGCTTTTCTAGCCCAGCGTGAACACTCATGCTCTTTATGTCATCTTTTGCCTCAGCTGCTTTTCACCAGGACCATGGAATATTGAGCAGTTAACACTGTGTTTCCTTCTTTCTTTAACACACTCCTTAATCACGTTCCTTGAAATGTGCATGTGATGTTTTTAAGTACTCACATAACTTTTGTCTTGGAAGATGGTAATTCAGAGGATTTCCTTCTCACTCTCACATTAGTAAATCACGTGTGTGCATGCATCTGTTCAGACTTCCCGTTGTGAGAGCCTTCCTCAGGTCTGGCTCTAGGCCCTAGGTGAGAGGTCTCTGGAGCTGGACTGCAACTGTCTGGGTAGTTACCCTGGTTGCACGGGACTATTTCTGAAGAGCAGATAACCAGGAGCACTGTTGGATCCAAAGGGCAAGTGTGTGGCTGAGAAATTGGAGATCAGTCAAGAAGGTGACGGCAGATGCATGCAGAAATGGAGAAGAAAGCAAGGCCTTGTGTTGACAGGAGGTGGCTGCCAGCCCAGAGTTCTGTTTCCTGAGTGCTTACCATTTGATGTAGGAGCTGAGTTAAAACAAAGCCAAAACCAAAATGTAGTGACTGAGAGGATGGCCTTAAGTTGCCAATATGACTGCCTGCAAGCTTCCCAAGGAACCTAGGCCCCCTTGGAGCACCTGGCATGTTTTGTCTTGCAGAAAGTGCAAGTATGTCAGCCCCACAGGTGCACATCCTCAGTATAATCATTTCGTGGCCTTCTAGATGGTGGGCTTAGCAAGGTACCTCACCTTTGGGGTTCACCTTTGATGATCTTCTGTGGCTCAGCAGTCTAGACTTGGTGAATTTATATTCTGAAATATTTCTCAACTGGAATAACTAACTCTTTAATTTCCAGTCTAAATAGGCAGATGGCCTTTTCATTTTAAATCTTAAAACGTTAGAACTATGATGCAACATCATTTCTTTGATGCCCTCCTTTTGTGAATTTCTTTACACACGCATTTGTTCTTTTGTTATTTATTTTGTTGAGCAGCTACTGTGTGACAGTACTACTCTTGATAAGATGTCCTGAAAAGTGATTAAGTGGATTAAACATGAGTCCCCCATGAGAACCAATCTTAGAATTTGACCTTGAGATCTGTCTGTTAGCATACTATGGACACTGGAGCTACTTTATCCATGCTTTTTACTTGAACTCTGCCTTTGATGATGGCATGGTATAAGGAAGAGATTAGAATATCGTTGAATAGTAATGTTCACCTTTCAGTAGGTCATGGAAATTTAAGATGGGTGATTATATGATGCTTATATTGACTTGTTATCCTTAAAGAATTAATTTTTATTTTCTTCTAGAATCATAGGTCCTGTTACGTTGTATGTTGTACATGAAGCTAATCCCTTTTTACAATATATGGATTTTTTGAAATGCAAATAAGTACAAATTTAATTTGAATTGCATTGAATTTATTTTTACTTTAGCCAGAATAATTTGATATTGCTTTGATTCTTCCACTTTGTCACATATTATGCTGCATTACATTTGACTAAAACAGTTTACTGTTTTTTTCATTTCCTTTAGAATAAAGAAATTAAGGTAAATAATTTCTATAATTTGAAACAAATCAGTAAATTCTAAAGTAAAGATCTTAACAATTCCATGAGTTTCATGCTATTTTTAGCAATTTATTTTGTTTTTTAACAAAAAGAATTTTTGTGAAACTGCTGATAATTATAATTTTGTTCAGTATTACATTTCTTAAAATATGGCTGGTTTCCAAATACCACAAATAGTTTAAATTATTTTACTTTTAAGATGTTTTCAAATGGAGTCATTGGTTAATTCAGAAGGCAATTCAAACTTAGTGTTTATAATCTGCACTGTGACTCTTTAAAGTTGATAAATTAAAAAAATCACAGTTGGCTCTTTTCTGATAGTTTAGACCTTGGCAATGAAAAGAAAACTTCAAATATTTATTCCAATTGCATTTGAAACAGTACTCAAACTCTTTTAACAAAGCATACAAGAGCATATGTAACAGTCCAACATACTTTTGTTTTTATTACTTTGCGTATATAGAAAGTTTCCTGTCTCTTTGGTGTATTGGACAGTTTTATTCAGTGATAAGTTCCATGTATCTTGAAAACTTGATATGGGATTTATTTAACCCCTGAGATGAGAGCCCTACTATTTTATATTCCAAAGCATTTTGGCATTCTGTTCACTTCTACCCCAAATAAACAGCTTAGCTTAGGGGTCTCCTGAGAATAGCTGAGGATGATGGGGCTTGGCAATGATCAAACCCAGTGGGATAAAGTTTGTTAAATTGTGATGTGTCTGTAACCAAAGGACTGCAGGGGCTTCACAGTGTATGTGACCAAAGGGGTACAGAGGCTGCACAGTACTGTGCATTAAAATAAAAGGAATGGAAGAGCAGACTGCTGATTTGCTCACAAACAGGGAAAAATTTAATTGAAAGGAAGGGTGTAAAGGAGGATTGTGGAGGAAGATGAAAAGGAAAGGCATACTAGTCCAAGTAAATGAGGGAATCTTCGGTATAAACAATGCCTTGCTAACCTTTTTTTTTTTTTTTCTTTTAAAAAGAGAAACTGCAGTTTCTGTTCAGATGATGTAAATCTTTCACCTCTTACTTAGTCCCTTCTTTAAAATGTTGACTTCTACTTTGAGGTACAATACCTGTCTTCCAAACTTTGTCGCTTTTTCCCTTTTTCCCTTCCCCTCTCTTTCTAACCAATTTGCTCTTCGGGGGGCTTTATTCTGCAGCTTTCAGTATGCCAGCCCTCTCTGTCCACAGTAAGTCAGTGTCCCAAAAGATGAGGTCCTGTCATGAATACTCTAAGCCTTTCTGGCTGCTCTGCCTGCCCCTCGCTCAGGGAGGACAGAGGGTCTTTCTCTGCGGTGTTCTTTAACATGTACTGAGCTGGCCCTCCCTGGCTCTTCTAACACACACTGGTGCTTTTTTCCTCCTGACTTATGAGTACATGATCAGTTGATCATTTCTTGTTTTGAATGTTCTTTTTTGTGCTACAGAGAAAGAGATGACTTAATGTCTGCACTCGTTTCTGTGAGAAGCAGCTTGGCAGATATGCAGCAGAGAGAAACAAGAGCCTATGAACAGGTGAAGCACGCTGTACAAATGACTGAAGAAGCCAATTTTGAAAAAACCAAGGCAAGTCTAAGGACATGGGGTAAAGGTATCACAGAATCACCCTTTTCCCTGACTATTTCTTTGGTTATTCTTCATAACTAAACTCTTTCCAGATGCACAACATGGAAATCTGTTCATGTCGACTTTTTAAAATTTCCTATTGGAGGATTCTTGCTCCTCCACAAGTTCTCTTGTCACACCTCTTCAGGGACTGTGGGCACCACAGTCAAGTACTTTGAGAGACTTTATGCTTAATCTTTTCATCTGCCAATAGTTTTCAAATAGTTTAAAAATACATAGTCCTGGTTTGTGTTATGTTTATGTATGAGCAAAAGTAAATATTTTCCCTTTATACTTGGGAAATTTTTAGAAAATCTAAATAATCCGAAGGCAACCACATGTGTATTCAGTAGACAGTAGTATTTTTAGCTGTGAGTTTGGATCCATCCTAAGCTAAGTCAAATGTACTTAGCAATGATGACAATGACAATAGTAGTCACACTAAGTGATCAGACAGTGTTCTAGGCACTTTGCGTAATTGTAGTAATCAATTCCATAATTGATTGCTGTGTTTGAGGACCACACCTTAATTCATTAAAGTTGCTGTGTATTTTTTCTAGACACACTAGCCATAATCAAGTGCTTAATAGGCACAAGTAGCCAGTGCAGATGACTACTTGAACATTTTATCACCACCAAAAGTTGTATTGGATAACACTGGTCTGAACTATGCACAGATCGAACAGCTCTGACCTAAAGTGCACTGAAATCTGAATGTTTTTGTGTAGCATGTTGCATCATGTTGATGCCTAAAAAGCTTTGGATTTTGGAACAGTTCAGATTTGGGATTTTCAGATTAGGGATGTTCATCTAGTAAAGTTTGTAAATATTCCAACATCTGAAAAACTCTGAAATCTGAACCACTTCTGGAAAGGCATTTTGGATAAGGAATAATTAACATATAGAAACATCAATGTTTTATTAAGTTACTAGAGTTTTTCAGTTCTATATTGATTTTCTTCTCAGTCATTGCCTTTCCATTTGTCTCTGTCTAGTTCTTTCTAGACCATTTGGCTCTCCTTCATTACTAATTTCATCACCAGTGCCTCTCTGCCTTTGAAACTTGGATTTGGTTCTGAGCCAACTCCCTTATATACTTTGTTTCCTCAGACACTCCCTTCACATGTTCCGAACTCTGTCTGTCATCTGATGATACCATGAGCCCTTGAAGCTCGAGCAAAGGCCCTTTTACCATTCGTCTCATTTCATGTGGCTGTGATGGATGAGTCACCATTTACCTTACTCCTTATTACCACTTTGGGCCTTTGGTACCTACTTTTAGTTAACATTCCTCTTGGAAGTCAGCATGTTTTTTTCCTCCCTAATCTTAACCAACAGAAACAGTCTAGAAGACACTTGTTGACACTCTTATGCTCTAACATCTGACCCTTTCCTCCCCCATGTTATCTCCTTAAAGGTTTCAGTGTCCATGTTGTTAATACATCCATCACTAACCCTTTCTGGCCTATTAATACTTTTCTCCTACATGGCTGTAACTCCCACATAAGCCCAAGTGTCCCTAAAATCTCAAATTCTGAAACCACCTGCTCTAACCAAAGCCTTTTGTCTTCCTTCTTTCCCACCCCAGTTTAATCTGCTCCATGTCCTCAGTTCTGCCTCTAGTTTCTCAGCCTCTTCTCTTTTTGTTTGTCATTTTCTCTGTTGTTTCCAGGTCGGGCTTCTCTTTACACTTAAATATGAATTTTACCATCTCAAACTGAACTCATTACATTCCGAAGCTCCTTCTGTGTTCTGCAACTTACTGAAAGGCACCTTTGTCCATTGCCATGTCCTGACTAGAAACTGGATGTCATCCCTTCCTTCACCTCTGGCTTTCAGACAATTACTATATGCAAGTCTTAGTCTCTGAATTCTTCTTGAGTTCCTTCCTCACTGATACTTTTCTCATCTGGCAGATTTGTCCCCAGACAAGGACCACTCCTCTCTACAGCATTTATTAGAATGTATTATCATTGGTGGTTTGTCTGTATCCTGCACTAAACTCTGACAGTAAGGAGTGTAAACATTTTGTTCATTGTCCAATCACTGGCATGCTGCATGGTGCCTGCACACCACAGGTGCTCATAGTCGCCATGAAAGGAATTGCAGCTCTGTTCTCACTAGCACTCTAAGATTCCTTCTTTCTGCCTTTCCAGTTTTCCTGCTTTGCCAGTTGCTAGGGAAAGTTAAACCCATCACACATTAGTTTTTAATTGCTGTTTTCAGCCTATCAGGCATTGCCACAGGAATTTGTTTAAGAAAGCCTCCGACTGAGCTCCACTGTAGAGCAGAACTGGTCACCTTCTTTGGTTACAATGGCTGCTTAGCTCTTCTTTTCTCTGCAGTTTCCTCACCGTTCCACCTCCAGTCCTAGCACCTATCTTCACAGATAACCCTCTTCTTACTGAAATCAAGAGCAATGGCCCAGAGTCTCCTCAACATCTTCCCATCCCTCAAATATCTCTTTTACTCTTTTCCTCTTCCCTCTCTCTATCCTTCCCTCCCCTCTTATTTCCCAAGGTGAATGTTGTTTTCTAAATTCTTGGTGTCTCTTACTTCTAGTAGCTTTGATCCATTTGTCATCAATCACATCTTTCTTGCACCCCCCTTCCCTCCTTTACCACTGCCCCTCCCTCTATACATAGCCAGTTGTCTTTAAACAGAAAACAGGCTTCATGTGATCAGCATTCACTCAGTTTCCTGCCTGCATTCCATCATTTCACTGGAGACCTTTCAAACAGTTGTCTACTCTGATAACCCTCCTTTTGCTTCTGATCACATTGCAGTCAGGCTTTCAGCAAATTGTAGACCTGTTTGCTACTGAATTGCTTACTTAAGGATCACTGGCCACTTTCTGATTACCAAATCCAGTGACCTCATTTTAATTCTCATTCCACTCTTACCCTATAGTTTTGAAGCTCTTAACTGTCCTATCATAGCATATCATCCCTTTCCTTTGAATGGCTCTTGTCTACTCTTGTCTGGTTTTACTTGTTTTCCACAGCCCTTAAATGTAGGATATTACTCAGAGCTAGTTCCTAGACCTCCTCCCCTGTTCCTTGATTTCCTTGGATTCATTTCTGTCATGACCATACATTTATCTTTGTTTGAACACCCCCCCCACATTGTGTTTTTAGCTCTAATGTGCTCCTGAGCAGCAGACCTACATTTCTTGCTGCTGCTAGACCTTACTTTTATGAATGATATTCTATTAGCATCTACTGCACAACCAAGTTGTTAATTCTGTCCACTTTCCTGTGTACCACTTCTTTTCCTTCTACTATTTTCTGTATATATTTGTTTAAATAGTGGCACCATTGTCTTACCAACAGCCCTAGCTTACAGCCTTTAAAATACCTTGGCTCAGGTAATTGAACTTTGATCACAAGATAAAAGTGAGAGCACACAAGAGAGATATGAGGATAGGTAAGACACCTAAAAAACTCGATAGCATTTGTTGCCCTCAACGCAGAGAAACTAAAGCAGATACCTTAAAGCAACTGAGGCCAATAGGAGAAGGGGACCAGGAACTAGAGAAAAGGTTAGTTCAAGAAGAATTAACCTAGAAGGTAACACACATGCACAGGAAATCAATGTGAGTCAACTCCCTGTATAGCTATCCTTATCTCAGCCAGCAAAAACCCTTGTTCCTTCCTATTATTGCTTATACTCTCTCTTCAACAAAATTAGAGATAAGGGCAAAATAGTTCCTGCCGGGTATCAAGGGGTTGGGGGGAGAGGGAGGGGTGGGGTGGGTGGTAAGGGAGGGGGTGAGGGCAGGGGGGAGAAATGACCCAAGCATTGTATGCACATATGAATAATAAAAAAATAAATAATGAAAACAAACAAACAAAAATAAAATAAAATACCTTGGCTCTTCTCCATCCCTTACTCTTCACATCAAATCATTGCTGAGCTAGCTCTCTTCAGACCCCCCATTCAGCTGTGCCCATTTTCCACTCCTGTACCCCTGCTTGGGCTCAAGTCTTCCTAAGCTCTTTTGCAACAAGTGCAGACTATTACAGTACCTTCTAATTGGTGTCTCTTGGTTTTCTTGTAATTCCAGCATATCTGTCACATTGCTGCATTGGGCTTCTTGGATTGTAAATCCCCTCTTGGAGTAGAGTAAAGGGTAATTCCTTAGCATGGCCTTCTAGATCTTTCAGTCTGGTCCTGCTCTAACTCTTCTTGACTGACCTTTCACTTCACTCTTCATGCAATCTGTGCTCATTTCCAGAATGTGAGCTACAATTGACCATTTTTGTGCATTTGCTCAGTCAATGCTAATCTGTCCTGCATTTATCTGTGAAGTATCCGTTAAGAGGAGGCTCAACTCAGGCAGCAGTCTTGGCAGACATTTCCCCAGACTCTGCTTCTTTGAATTAATCTCTTCCTCTTCTGTATCCCACTGGTGTTGCACAAAGTTTTGGTGACTGTTTGGATAACTATCTCCACTGAAAGAGGGTGAAAATCAGGTCTGTGACATCTGTCATTCTATCCCACACTTGACCATGTATGTATTAATTACACAGTTAATGTTTGTTGAATTGAAATTTTACTTGAAATAGTAATGTGAAGTTTTATAATTAGTGTTTTAAAAAATTTAACAGTTAAGAACAAATAAGACATTGTGTACTGTGGATCTAGCATTTCCACTGAATTAGCAATAATGCAAGGATGGACTACCAAACAGCTGACAAAATGTAACATAGGACTGGTAGTTTTATCTAAAGGTGTATTAAAACATACAAATTTCGCTTTCTGAGGGTATTTAAAAAAATTCAGAAGACATAGATACTGTAATTTTAAAACCAACTTCTTACTGAGCTAGGGTTGTTACTTTGTTCTTTAGTTCCTTGGCATCTGTTGCCATCTAGTGTACCATTTGTGTATTGCATGCTAAATAAGTAGGATGAGGTATTTTTGTATTATACTGTATATTTACATTTACAGTGACAATGAAAATGCCTGAATTCTATAAGAAAATAAATATTTAATGTGAGAAGATCACAGTGTTACTCACAGATTCTGTTACTTTTACTTTGGATCAGATCCCTACTCTTCCACTTTCTAGATCCAAGATTTGGGCAAATTACTTAATGTTCCAAAGTCCTGGTTTCTTCCAACAGAGTAATAAGAATCACTTAAAATTTCTTGATGGAGTTAATTAAATGAATCCATGTAATCCATTTAGCAAAATGTCTAACACATAGTAAGTGCTCAGTGAATGTTTTTATTTGAAAATTGCAAGTTATTACAACTGGGAATATTTTTTAAAGAGGAGGAAAAAAAAAAACCCATTAATCCTGGAATAAACAAGGGTAGAAAGGCAGAGGATTGGCAGTGTCACGATGGAAAAACCACAAGAAACAGATGGAAAGGTTAACTGACCTTCTACCTGTCTGTGTTTGGAAGGGAAATTGTTGAGAGGTCTGGTGGAAGACCTGGAGGCACAGGCTTTACAGGAAGTTGCAATGAGCATTCTGAAATGAGAGAATCTCTAAAGATTTTTTTTAAAGAAAAATACCAATCTGGTAGGAGGAATAAATGCTTCCAAAAACATTTTCCCTTTTGAAGTATCCATCTTATTCTGCTTTTTTGGATTACAGTAGAATCAGAGAGGTAAGAATTAGTAACTTGGAATAAATAGAAAATGAGTAAAACATTGAGCACTTGGATTGTAGTCACAATCACAGTAAAGCTCCTCACCATGTACATTACCTGCTATAAAACAAAAACAAATGGTAAATATAGTCATGTGCTGCATGATAACATCTTAATCAAGGACAGTGGTCCCAAAAGATTGTAAGGGAGCTGAAAAATTCCTATCACCCGATGACATTGTAGCTTAAGTAAGGTCATACTGCAACACATTACCTACCTGTTTGTGGTGATGCTGGTGTAAACAAACCTACTGGGCTGCCAGTTGTCTAAAAATATAGCATGTACAATTGTGTATAGTACATAACCCTTGGCAATAAACAACTGTGTTACTGGTTTGTGTGTTTCCTGTACTGTGCTTTTTATAATTATTCCTGAAAGTTCCCTCCTGCTTATAAAAACATTTACTGTAAAGCAGTGTGCTGCGTTACACTAGCAGCAGCCTCATACATCCATGCGTACTGCATCTCTTGGCTGCATCATGACTGACCTGTCTCCCAGGTTCACACAAGCACCCTGTGATGTTTGCATGATGATGTCCTCAGAACATGGACATTGAAGTGAGCTTGACTGAATCTTGAGCATAATAGATAGGGATAGACTACTGGTAAGACTAGTGAGCAAGTGCTCACAAATTAAAATCAATACGTTGCATTATGTGTAAGCTAATGCTTAAAATATGTTGGCCTTCATTATTTTATGAGCTTTGTTTCATAAAAACACAAACATTCATAAGTTTATATCATAACTACAAACTATAATATTCCTAATAATTTCTTAATTCTTTAGTCATGAGTTCTTTTATCACTAGGATTTCTAGGAAATTATCTGTAGCAGTTGGGAAGGACTTTCATGTGTGCTAAAGTAGGTTTCCTATTTAAAAATTTTAGTTGACCAGACATAGATTTTGTTGTGGAAAATCTTTGGACTCTTTTAAGATAGTAATGCACATTCTTTGGTAAATAAAATTAGGACTGGAAATATCAAGTCCGATAAATTGTTTTGTAACAAGTATTGATAGGGCCAGCATAGAACAACTACAAATATAGAAATTCAAGGACTGAGTCTGCTGTCTGCAGTAAAGTGTAATTCCCATAAATCCTCAGGATCAGCAGTCATGTCCACAAGGAGGGTGCCAGGCTGTGGGAAAAGGAGAAGCCACCACCTTGAGAACTCCTGGGAGAAATGGCAACACGGGCCTTTATTAACTTGGTCATCAATCAAGATCTGTTTGTAATTGATTATTTAGACCTTGCTTCTTAGAAGTCGGTATTTACCATTTAGATGAGTATAATCATGGGATACTTAATCAGTGGGGATTCTGAAAAGCAGGAGGGGACCCTAGGACTAAAAGGGAAGACTTTGGTGGAAATAGTCTATAAATATTTGGTTATAAGATCCAAATCTGCTAGGGAGGTCCATCGCAAGAGGGACGTTTTTAGAAAGATTAAATCACTTTTCTACTTTGAAGTGTTGATAATGCCTAATAGTTTGTGACTAGGAGTAAATGTTAAAAGCAAAGCAAATAAAAGTGAAAGCTATTTTACAAATGTGGAGTCATTAGTTACACACCAAGAGATATCAATAGCCAGTTTTTAACCTAATGTTTTTATTCAGTATTTCTTTGTTCTTTTCTTACTTATTCACTGTCACCCATGGTGGTGGCTTGTCCAAAGAGAGAGCAGACCATCCCCAAAACAGGCCTCAAGGATGGTTTTGTTTATGTGGTTTATGACTTCTTGCCTTGTGCTTTTCCTGAATCATCTTATCTTGGCATTGGCCTCTTAACCTGTCTGGATCATTTACTGCCCTCTATTTCCTTAATTAATTAAATTCTTTGGTTCTTTCCTTGCTTTTCAGTTTCCGTAACTGTTAGGTCTTCATTAGTTTCTTCTACTATTCTTGTACTTAAAAATGTTGACTTTTGAGTTTTTGTTCAATTGAAACCTTCTAATTGGATAGATTGATTTGTATTTAATAGTCATTTTATTCACTTGCACCAGTAGTAGTCATAATATCAGTGAAAGTTAGACATTTTATTAGATTCATTGAAGATATTTTTCACAAGCACAATTTCATTTTGAAGCACCAATTTCACTAATTTATAGTATTTCAGGCTGTAAGGCTTTCAGTTATGGAAAAATAAGCTTTTTCGTTTCCTTTAAAATCTAATTTAAAGCTTCCTTTCTGAGGCATTCTTAACTAGAGATTAACTTGGGACTAACTCCCTCAGAGAATCATTTTTTTAAGCCAAAATTATATTTGTTTTTCAGTTAATCTGATATAACTGAATTTTGCTTTCATATTTTATGCCTCTCAGTACAGAAACTTTCCAAAAAACAACAACAAAAATTGAAGTTGAATGCTTTCTAAATGAAGAAAGGAGAACTCACAAGTCCTAGATGTGTGTTGTCTATATTTATTACAGCTCTCATGGAGGAACATAACTTTCATAAAACTTACAGGGCATGCTGAGCCCACTCCATTTTCATTGCAGCAGATGTGACTATCAGATCTGTAGTCATGCAGTGTATGAATCATAGGAAACCTGAGTTGGGTGAAGTACATCTCGTAGGTAGGAATGACTGGAATAGGATAATACCATGGTATCTTAATTTTATTGGGATTTTTTTTAAAATTGTGATTTTTGAAGTCCTGTTTATTACTGTGTGAGTATTGTGCATGAAGTTATTATAAATGTGGACAAAAGGAAATTCAAAAGTTTTTATTTGGGAAGTACAGAGTGGGGAATTAGACTGAACAACAATTACAAACTTCTACCAGAATTGTAAGACAATGATTCGCATAGAACTGAGTAGTGAATTCTGTTTTGAGTCTTTACTTATTTTAAATTTTGGTTATGACCTAATTTTTACACAAGTTATATGCTTAAAGAGAGTAAACTAAGTCTTAGTTATATTTAAGGAAACATTATTAACAACAGTGTGAAACAATAGATGCCTGTGTGTAATGAAATACAGTATTCAACATCTCATTTAAATTTTTAAATCTGTTTATCTTTTAAAGTATTCAAATACTTTTGAACCATGAGGAAATGAGAAATCAGTAAATTTTATTTTTTATGTAGAGTGATCATGATATGTATAAAGATATTAGGACATCTGGCTTTTCTGAACATCCTTTTCAAGTTCTGACTCATTTGTGGCCCTCCTCAAGGTCTGCTACCTATATTACCTAAATGGGGTAATATAGCTTTAATTGTCAATATTGAAATGTGTGAGTAAATGTAACATTTAGGTACTATCTTGGGTCAGTAAGTGATACTGATAAACAAATACAGTCATCCTCATGGTCTTTACAGTGAGTCTTAACTATTTTAAATACAAATAAAGCTTAATTGTCTCATTTTCCCCAAATTCTAAACTCCCTTTTCATGCTCTTATTCTGGCAGGCTTTCATTGAGTGTGAGCAGTTGAAGAATGAGCTGGAGAGGCAGACCGAACGACTTGAAAAAGAACTTGCATCTCAGCAAGAAAAAAGAGCCTTTGAGAAAGAGATGAGGAAAAGAGAAATAAACAAAGAAAGGGAGGATGCTGAGTCAAAGGTACTGAAGGCCTTAAGTTGTCATCCACACCGCAGAAGAATGTGCTGGTGTCAATGACCATTCTATAGGCTGCCATTCTTGAATTTAAAACCTTTATAACTAGTTACATTTCTTATCCTTTGAAGTTCATTAAAAGTGGCCTATTTCCCATGTTTCTCAATGACGCTTATTCCCTGACCTTTTCAAATACTCAATTTGACTCCATATTATGAAATTCTGAATTTACTTTGATCCTGCCATTCTCTCTCTCTTTCTCTCTTCCTCCCCACCCTCTCTTTCCTTTTCTCTCTCCTCTCTTTCCTCTCACTCATTTGCCAGAGGAGGGCAGGTGCTCTAAAGATACAGAGATTTTATTTCAACTTTAGCTAAATCAAGGAGAAATGACTTCTCTATTTTATCCCCTACCACAGATTAAACATGCATAAGATGGAACACTTGTAAGAAACTGAGTAACCAAGAAAAAGTGAGTTCTGATTAATTATGTGGTGAAAAAATGACCAGATGTATAACTGGAAGGGAGAAATTAAAGGCAAAAGGAATAGATAACATGAAATAGGCAGTATGTGAAAAACAGCAACAAATTGGAATACAGCGTTGAGCAGAACCCAGCTTAAAATTGCTGCATTAGAGTGAAATTAGCAAGAAGTAACCAAAACAACTGTTACATTTCATTTAAAGAGGATTCATAGCTTGTGCCCTAGATACAGCTACAATTCTCCCATGCATGATAATTATCTCCCCTAGTAAATATCTAAGAGTGTCTGCTATGTGCAAGGCACATATGTGTAGGCCTAAAGATATTTAAAAAAAGGATATAAAAGAAGAAATATCATAGCCTCTGCCCAGTTAGTTTTAACTCTTATGGGTAAGCTAAGGCATTTACTATAAATTCATTTGCCTTCTTACCTTTTTAAAGAAGTCACATCTGTCAAAACCCTACTGTAGTTCAGTCTAACTGCTTACATCTGTGCCATGGATTGGTGATCTCAACAGGTGAAAATCAGGCAGCTCTGCACACCCAGGGTCTTCAGTGTCCACTCAGTGTCCACAGTCTTCTTTGTGTGTGCTAGCAGTCCTCCTGTGCATTCCCCTCTCTCCTCTACTTTCAGATTCAACAGAGATTATTGGAGGGACTTGATGGTAGTCACTGAACTACCACAATGCAGTTCCCTCATTAAGCTTACAAGCTCTTGGGAGAGGGAGACATTGAACACATACTTTCATAAATGAGTTTTTTTTTTGGTTAGGATTGCTCATATAGAGTACTGTGAGAATGTGTAACGGAGCATCTGACCTAGCCTCAGCAATCATGGGAGACTTTCCATCAGAAGGAGAGTTTTGAAATGACTCCTGAAAACCTGGAATAGGAGTAGGAGTGGCCAGGTGGAGTTGATGGGAAGAACGTTTCAGGCCCAGGGAAATAACATGCCTAAGACTCTGAGGCTGGAAATCTCTGTACTTTCAAAGAATTTAGTGAATGCCCAGGTGCCTGGAGCGTAGGGAGTGAGGGACAGAATTAGTGGAGGGTGAGTGTAGAGAACTATGCAGGAACCAAATCGTGTATGGTATTAAAGTCATGTGAAGGATTTTAAATTTCATTCACTGTTGGACAGTGTTGTGCTGCCATTTATATTTGCAGAAAATCATTTTGTTTATAGTTGGAAGGGGAGTAGAATAGATATCAGGAGATGAGGTAGGTGGGAGGTCACTGCTAATCACAGCAGGGAGTGTCATCTTGAACTCCACCTTCTAGTCCTATTTCAAATCACTTTTATAATCCTCAAATCCTCCTCCATACCACTTTCACCCTTTCTAGTTGGCAGAGAGCCTTACTTACCTGTTAAAATTGAAGCTATAAGGTAATAACCAGCTCATCTGTTCATCTTTACCCTCACTTCTGTCTTTGAATAAATTTTCACCTGCACCCCAGCCCTGTCAGAACAGGAAAGACTTAATCCTAATGCATACCCTTCTCCTGTTCCCTACCCCCTCTCCCACATCAAGGAGCTTGTCTCATTTGTTTCCCGCTGTCTTCTGAATCTTCAACCTTTCCTTCTCTATAGCCTTTCTTATCAACAAAACAAACAAAACAAAACAAAACAAAACAAAACTCCCAAATTTCTTTCACCTGTTGAAAGAAGCAATCTTTCTTCTAATCTAATGGTTTCAATCTTGTCTACACAAGAAGTTCCAAAAATTTCACATACAAATTGTACCTTAAATCAACTATATAAGACAGCAGAAGGTAAGATTCAGGAGTGTTAAAGTTGCCCACTTGATTCCAATGTGCTGCCAAAGCTGGAAATCAGTCCAGCAACCCCATATCCCTCATCACTTACCCTTTCCCTACTAATTATGTTTCCTGAAAGAAACACAGTCTGTATTTTGTCTTTATTTTCTGACCTCCCAATTCAGTCTTCAGCCTACTCTTTTCCAGCTTCTGTGCTCATAGCCACTGACATTGCCCTTGCTATGTTCACCAGAGACCTTTCCATGGTCTTTGGTAAAAAAACCATTAGATTAGAAGAAAGATTGGTTCTTTCATGGTAAAAAGGTTTTATTCTTCTCGAAAAGTACATTTTTCTGGATATCTGTGAATCCATATTTGATTTGGGAGAATGATGATGTGTGCCTTTAAGACAATGAAGGAGACACATCCAGAAGGCAGACTGATGGAAGGTTTTAGAGTTTACCAGAAATCTGTAGATTTAGATACTTTAGCACTGCTGTGGCTTTAGTTCCATATTTGTGGTATTGATTCCTATATTTTAAACTTTCTATTGAACTCCCAATCCCCTTTTGCTTTCTATCTTCTTATTCTATTTAACCACTATTTATTCAGTTGCCAACATAGAAATCTTGTCACCTTTGTTTCCTCCCTCTACAAGTCATTGCCACTGAGTTCTAAGGTTCAAGGCCTTAAGCATTTGCCAGTCCTTCTCACTCTTGGAATGGTTCCTACAGCCCTTTGCGGCATCCTTGCCTCTGATCTCACCTCCTTCCCATCTGTTCTCTAAACAACAGCCGGAATGAGCACCCTAAAATGAACATCTTAATATGCCAGTTTTTTGCTTTAAAAATCCTTTTATGTTTCCCTGCAACCTTGAATAAAATTCCAGATCCTTTAGTATACATAAAGACTACATTATTCTTCCTCTCTTTGGCTCTCCAGTCTCATTGTCCTTCATTTTTCTTTCTCACATCCTCATCATATCAACCTTCTTGTACTTCTCCAAACATGCAAACAGATCAGTCTGCCATTATAGTTTTCACTTCAGGATTTTGCATGTTCTTTGCTTCCTCCCTAGAGGAAACTTCCTTTGCTGTCTTTGATTCTTCACACTCTTTCTGATACCACCTCCACTCAAATTCTCTCAAACCTTCATTGAGATTCTCTGCATGGGTTCCCTTAATTCAATTCCCTTTATTGCAAATTCTTGTTGAATTATTTGTCTCCCCTAATTTACTATGAATTTCTTACATGTGTGATATAACGTCCTTATTCTTTGGCACATTCCCTTCACATAAAATGTGCTCAAATATATATTTGTTGAATGAACAAATGGATAATTACATACAAGGAAAAAAAAAAGAATCCATGCTATTGGAAAGGTAGGACTAAAATGCTGAAGAGTCCAGAGTACCAGAACTGGTCCCTGTCTGCAAGAGATCATGGAAGGCTTTGTGGAGAAAATGGACTTTAACTGAGCTTTGAAGAATAGGTAGGATGTAGAAATACAGATTTTGGGGGAAGGAAGCAACCTATGTCCAACTGGAATAAAACCTGGAGAGAGGTAAAGTCATAGGTTGAGTATTGTGTGTGTGAGAGAGTGGTATCAATAACAAAGACCACACACACCTTGGAGATTTTTATTTGGGGGGTTGTTTAGTGAGTAGCCTTATTAATCTTATTGAGTAGGTCTACTATCTAAAAATATGTTGATGAGAATTTCTTGATAAGGAAAAAGAAAAGCCAAAATGTGACTGCCATGATGCTGGATCTCACCAAGAGAGGTGATAACTGAAATACAGTGCACTTTGGAGTCCAAGTCACTTAAATTTATTTTGCCCACAGTAAGTTTTGGTGAACATTTGATCTCAGGGTCATGTCCTAAATAAAGATGTGTGAATAAAGATTGACAGCTGCCCTAACACTGAGGGGAGTGCTCTCACCAGAAAAAGTACTTAGGGTTGAATACAATTTGACCTTTCTGTGATCTTGACACTTTTTAAACTTCTATAAGCATAAGGAGTAAAGAATAAAATTGATAATACTTCAGGGACTTCATAGATTAAATTAGATGCAGTTTTGAAAATATCCTAATGCCTGGCTTATGTTAGGTATGGAATAAAGTCTAGTTTGGGGCTTTTATCATTCTTATTTTAGAGAAAGACAGAAGTAGCCTTATTGGGTAGCTTTCTTTGGCCTTCACAATAGTAATAGCAGTCGGACTTGAATATAAAGCCCAGCTGTACCTTTTATTTCTTACCGTTTTTTTTTTAAATTCATATGTGCATACAATGTTTGGGTCATTTCTCCCCCCTCCCCTCCCCCTCCCTTATCACCCACCCCATCCCCTCCCTCTACCTCCCCAACCCCTTGATACCCAGCAGAAACTATTTTGCCCTTATGTCTAATTTTGTTGTAGAGAGAGTATAAGCAATAATAGGAAGGAACAAAGGTTTCTGCTAGTTGAGATAAGGATAGCTATACAGGGAGTTGACTCACATTGATTTCCTGTGCATGTGTGTTACCTTCTAGGTTAATTCTTCTTGATCTAACCTTTTCTCTAGTTCCTGGTCCCCTTCTCCTATTGGCCTCATTGCTTTTAAGGTATCTGCTTTAGTTTCTCTGCATTGAGGGCAACAAAGCTCTCGAGTTTTTTAGGTGTCTTACCTATCCTCATATCTCCCTTGTGTGCTCTCGCTTTTATCTTATAATCAAAGTCCAATCACCTTGTTGTGTTTGCCCTTGATCTAATGTCTGCATATGAGGGAGAACATACAATTTTTGGTCTTTTGGGCCAGGTTAACCTCACTCAGAATGATGTTCTCCAATTCCATCCATTTACCAGTGAATGATAACCTTTTGTTCTTCTTCATGGCTGCATAAAATTCCATTGTGTATAGATACCACATTTTCTTGATCCATTTGTCAGCATCTTGGCTGTTTCCATAACTTGGCTATTGTGAATAGTGCTGCATTTTATTTCTTACCTTGAATGAACTTGGGTAAGTTGCTTATTTCTGAATCTCACTTCAGCTGAACTGAAAATTAATTCAATTTCATATCAATCTAAATCCAATGCAAAACCTCTGTAAAGGAATTTAAAGGGAGAATATATATCATACTGCCTAGCATAGGTAGAGAGATTAAAAGTGCCAGGTAGATAACATTAGAGCTAGAGATGACCTCCCTGCTTTGCTGACAGTAGGATACTTGAGAGACTTGGGCTTTTCTTTGTGTTTCTTCTTTTCTTCCATTCTCTCTCTCTCTCTCTCTCTCTCTCTCTCCCTCTCTTCCCCTCTCCCCTTCCCTGCCTTCCCCCCTGTCTCTCTCCAGTCATGTGGGAAGCTCTAGCAGAGCAGGTGCCTTCTACCTACTCAGGTTTGCATCATTTTCCCATGAACATTCCTTGCTGTGAGTTCTGTCTATTGCCTTCAGTAATGGTCCTTGTTTGCACTGAGCCATGCAGGTTCGTTAGTTAGTTCACTCAATCATTCATCATGCATCTCTCCGACTGTTCCTACAGTTCACACATTTTCTTAGTTAGTTCCTTTGACAATAGCTAGAGTCCTTAATTCTTGTATCTTGTATGGGAAGTACCACTTCATACCATATTCAATACATGAGGGACTGCTCTGCAGAATTTCTGTCAAGCTCTTCCTACCTGGGTGTCCTTGTCTCTTCCTTGCCCCTGTCAAAGTTTAAAGGACTTACCTGATGTCAATGGCTTGGACATCCAGCAGTGTTGCAGCTGTCTGTGTTACTTCTGGCTCTGCAACAGATGTGGATAGAGAAGCTCCTGCAGTGTAATGCTGACTTCCAGATGGTGGGTGTGGGGAAAAAGAAGGTGTGACAACAGGAGGGGAGGCCTCAGGAAGTGGGTGACAGGAGGCAACAGACAGGTAGTGGGCAGAGGAAAGAAGTGATGGGTGGCAGAGGGAGGGAGGGAGTTCCAAGGCAGGGAAGAGATCTGGTACATGCCTTGAAATAGAAACTGATACAGAATTCATAATGAGCAAAATAAATGTCTGCATATTTACTTAAAAACTATGCAGTAGTAATATGTATAACCATCAGCTTTATCTCCACATAAATGTGTAACACATATTTTAATAGCTAGTTATTAAATTTATTGCTATTGTATTAGTCCAGAAATCCTATCATTACCTGTTTATGGGGTGTATAATCATGAACTTGAATTCTTAAATTAAGGAAATTGAACTGATACTTTGATTTGTCCTATTTATCTTTTTTTGACCTTTAACTTTAGGTTCAGATTGTAATGTGCACAAGGATACTTGTAGTTTGCTATTAGTACAGATAATTTTATCTGCAAATGAAATTTGTAGACAATCTATTGATGACAAGACATGTAAACAGTCATAAGTCAAGTATACAATTCTCTATAATCTTCATATAAATTAATTAATTCATCTGCCTAAATTAGAAAATAGCTACCAGGGCTCATTATTTTTGTATGGGTGAATTTTAGCTACTTATGTAATTCAAAGGCAGACACATGACTTGCTTTATTTCTGTAGAGTTCTTAATTTGCCGGAACTTTGGTGCAATAGGAAAATCATAATTTTCCTTTTGACTTCAGTTATAAAACTGAATTCACCTGTGTCTGGGTACAATGGTAAATTTCAAATATCATTATTTTTAATTTGTTACTAGGTCTTGTTTTAACAGATAAAAACTGATAGGTATCCTTACATGTAGGTGGCATCTCTTCATTTAAAAACTGCTAATTCACCTGAGAAAATAAGAAGAAAAGTTGGACTTAGTGAAACAAGCAAAATATAATTATCCAACAAAAACTATAAAGGATAGTTCTAAGATTTAGGAAGCATTTTTAATCCTGAAAAGAAAAGAAGAACCTGATATCTACAGAGTGCCTCAGAAAAGACATTTGTTCTAATTATTCATTCATCCATTGGTGGTGGCTTTACATGAATATGCCCCTGAGGAAAGAGAGATGACAACTAAAAATAGTGTTATTAAGGACTGTGATCGAGTGATAGTGCCTGGTGGCGTACACTGTAATCCAGATATTTGGAAGGCAGAGGCAGGAGAATCGTAAGTTCGAGGCTAGCTTGGACAAAAGGTGTGAGACCCTATCTTCAAAACAAAAATAGAAACAAAAGGGCTGGTGGGTATAGTAGAAGTGGTAGAGCACTTGCCTAGTATGTGGAAGGCCCTGGTTTTAAACTGCAATACTACAGACAAACAAGCAAGCAAACAACGTACCATGATAGAGGTACACAGAGGTAAGGGTGACGAAGGTGATAAGGTGGTTGTAGCAGTACATGCTAAAGTGACTATCAGAATGTTAAACAACCACACAGCATGGGCAATAATCAGTAAGAATGGATGCAGGCTACAGGCAACAGGTGTGAGTGTCCCAGGGTGTGTCAGCTGAACATTAGCCCTGAGTATGCAGTGGAGCACCTTTTTGTGCTGGGCACTAGAGGTCAGGGAAGGCTCCCTGGTGAAGAAGAGATGATGGCCCAGCTGAGTCCTATAGTAGGATAGGGGAGCACTAGGTAGCATGAAGACGGGGGAGGCGGGGAGTTTCCCACAACTGGAACTGCAGAGAGCCTCTTCACTGCTGGTTCCAAGGCAGGAATGTGGAAATCATAGCTCTCTCTTAACATGGCTTCCTTTTTAATTCTGTTTCCTCTTACAGATATTGGTCCTGTCTCAGAACATTATCCATCTGGAGGCTGAGGTGGAAAAGGTTACGAGAGAGAAGATTGCGGCTATTGGTCAACTGGAGGAAATTCAAACGCGGCTTGCTTCTCAGGAAGTAGATGTCACAAAGGTATGTCTACATTAGTTCAATAGCTGCCTAAGTAAATATTGCTTAGAAAGTTTTTCTGAGTGAACAAAGCTCTTACTGTTATCAGGAAGAAGATTGGGATGCGCAAGTTTTGTTATTCCAAGAATAATAAAGGTCCACTTAATGGTCACTCAGCACATGTTCACTTACTTTATGCTGCTCTTTGTATCTAGGCTGCAAATTAAAAAATGAATTAGACACAAATAATGTCCTCAAGCAGCTTATGGGCTAAGTGGCAAAGACAGACTTGTAAATAGGAGTTATATGACTAACTGTTGAATATTTGGTAGAAATTATAATTCTAAATTAGTTAATTAGGAATGACCTTTTTTTCCCTTTGCCATAGGTAGCATAGGGTTGGTATTCACAATAACTGTCAAAGATGTCTTTTTACAATTTGAAAAATGTACTTAAATTTAAAATTCTCTTCCACTCCTTTTTTAGATCTGGCCTCTAAAATCAAGATTCTATTACAAGCACAAGTTAATTATTTTATTGATATTTAAGTTTATACATTTGAATACTACTGCATTGGTACTAGTTAGTGGTACTAGTGGAACAAGAACTGAAATGTTTAGTGGTCTTTACTGGCTAAGGCTATCATGTAAGATCTCTATTTTAAGAACTGTTAGAGGCTTATCTAGATTTCAAGTCAGTTGCTTTAAAAGTAAGAAATTAATTATGGGCATGCATAATGTAATAAAATAAATCAATTTATTATTCATGCCTATATACACAGATAATTTGTTTACATACATACTCCTTCCATGTTTTTCTAAGTTTTGACAGTTTCACTAACAATATTGCCTTGTAACTCAGTAATTACAATTAATTTTAACTTCACATTAGGAAAGAGCCATTTTCCCTTTTTCAATTTCAGTAATTTTCCATTTGCTTTCAAAAATTCAAGCTAGCCAACATAGAAATTCAAGAGAAGAGTACCTGATGTATTGATGCAGAGGGATGGAAATGCTTTACCTAGACTTACAGGTAAAAGCTATGGTGACAGTTTTTTATACATTATAGGGAGAGAACTTTCTGCTGAAGTATGGGAAGGCAAAGACTGTGTTCTTGTCTGAGAACTGTCCAAGAGGACTCAGGCACCAGAAGGGTGATTAGACTGACTGGCCTTGAGATTGCTTCCTGCCCTGAGATAATATAATTCTGGCTCAATTTAATGTGTTGATTTATTTTAGATGAAATTTAAGTGTTATGGATAAGCAAAGTACTGAGGCAAGGGGGCTTTAAAATTAAATTAAGGAATAAAATAATTTTAAATGGAACTTAATATGTAGCCATTTGTTATGTAATAAGTTTATTGGTGTTGGGTTTTAAATATTATGGTTGTGTGATTGTTGTTTTTTGTTATTATCAATTTGAGATTTTTCTACTTCATTCATAAACCTAAATCAACAGATTAGAATAATGAAGAATTAAAGAAAACAAATAGGGTCCCTATAATGTTTTTCTGTTACTCAATTTAAAATTTTTATTTAGCTTTATAATTAATAATTTGTAACATAAGCTTGATAGTTTTCAATTGTTTGACGTGGAAGCATCAGCCCACATACATGGAGGCAGCTGAATTTTTAGAAGGATTTTGATCATTCCGCTTTCTGAGTGCCACTGGCAGAGGCTACCCAGCTTTTCTCCTGTCTTGTCACCTTAACTTTTGAACTCAATATTCCTTCATTTTTATTTGAAAGTATTGTTTATTGAGCACATGTAGGTTTTTTATCTTAGTATATTTGAATACCCTACTAATAATGGAACTAGCTTGTAAAGTTTCCAAAACCATCATTTTTGAAGGAATACCAAAACTGAAAAGTTTCACCAAGCATAACTGTCAAATAATATATGATCTTTAAAAACCTGCATTTGTAAATTAGAAGCAGACTTGTGATTTGACTGGTCTCTCTACAGCTTCTCAGGTATTTCAAAAGACCCATAATTTCTTCATTTAGATTTATCTGCTAATTGCACACATATTTCTGTGTCTGTAATGCCCTGGATTTGGAAGAAATACAAATTGTATAAAGAATAATGCAAATGCTTTTAAGATACTATGTGTGTTCATTATTTATTGATATATTAAAACTATTTCACTTTGGCCAGGCACCAGTGGCCCACACTTGTAATCCTAGCTACACAGGAGGCTAGGATCAGGAGGATTGAGGGTCAAGGCTCCTATTTCAAAAATACCCAACACAAAAAAGGGCTGATAGAGTGGCTCAAGTGGAAGAGCTGCTGCCTAGCAAGTATAAGGCCCTGAGTTGAAACCCTAGTACCACCAAAAACAATCCCCCTCAAAACCCTATTTGACTGCAGTGTATATTTTCCTTTTATATTAACTGTTCTAGTTATAATTGTAGAGTGTGTTTTGTGCTAGTTTATGACTTGTTAGAAAATGTTCCTTGACCAGAGTGGGTTGTGCTCTTACTACAGTATCTGTTTTGATTGTTGTTATCTATAAGATTTACAGTAAGTACCTGTGTATAACACAGAATATCAGTCATGCAGTCTTCCAGCAGAGAAGAATTTCTTCATAAATTTCCTTAAAAACAAAAGCCTAAATGATGAAGTTGTTTAAGGAACATTTTATAATATTGTGTGACTATTTAACCATAAAATTTTGAGTGAACAATAATATTTTAACTCTTTTTCCTAGTTAAAATTTGGGTGATAATGCATTTTTTTCATTTCTTTCTTTCTTTTTTTTTTTTTTTGTGTGTGGTACTGGGGTTTGAACTCAGGGTCTCATGCTTGCTAGGCAGGTGCTCTACCACTTGAGCCACTCTGCCAGCTGATAGAGCATTTCAATTGATAATATTCAATTGGCACATTATTTAAGATACTGAGTTATGCATTTCTTTATTTTAATTTGAACTTGTTACACTCAACAGTCCCTGACATTGCCTCCAGATCTTAACAGGCTATGTTAAATATTGTAACAGACATTTTTAGAGAAAAGTTCTGTTGTATTATATCTGTATTACCTCTAGGAGGCACCAAAAGATTGAATTGCAGGCATTGTCTGGTGGATTCCAGCAGCTATTGATCTAGTCTTACAATCTAACAGGTGTGTGGAGAAATGCGCTTTCAGTTGAATAAAACCAAAATGGAGAAGGATGAGGCCGAAAAGGAGCACAGAGAATACAGAGAAAAAACTAAAAGGGAGCTTGAAATGAAAGATCAGGTAAGCGATGACCTAAGCATAAGCAGCAATTAAAGATAGAAGTAACGTTCTTTCTGAAGTTGATGTGGTTTTATTCCTAAGTTATTTATTTCTCTCATATTATTCCTAACTAATGCAATGATCCAGTGTATACTATTAAAAGAACTTCATTTATAACTGCTTAAAATTATCACCTTTCACAGGAAGTGGTGAGACTGCAACTGCATGAATATAAAATCCCAATCTGACAGGTCATAAATATACATTTGGATACGTGTATCTATTACTTACAGAAGTTAAAGATGTCCTAATGCACAGTGCGAACCTAAAATATACGTACTTAAAGTTCTTGAAAGATGCCAACTTGCATCCAATTTTAAATGAAAGAGTTTAAAATTTGTAAGATGAGATGAGTTGATATGTAAATATGTCAATCAAATTGATTGTTGGCAGAGTGAAACTAGTTTTAACTGAGATAACCACGAATAAGTTTGCTCAGGAAGCCTGAGTACAGTGAAAGTAGAAATGTTAGGGGTGAAGGCTGCTTACTTCAACTTCAGTTTGAACAGATGTTTTGTTTTATAGATCTGTTGAGATCATGTAGATATCCCAACTTTAACTGAAAACATGGATAAAGTTTTTAGAGAGGCAGTTCTTCCAGGTTGACTTTTTCCCTTTTTATGTTGCAGTTTGGGCTGCTGAAGGCTTGTACTCCTTCTATCCAACAAGAGTGGTTGTTTGTTGTATTAGAATAATATGACTGAGTTCTTAGTGTCAATATTTTAAAGAAATCCCTACAACTTAGAGGTGGGTAGCTCCAAGTAAAAAAATTTTAAAACCTATTTCTATTCAAGGCTTTTTTAAGTCATGTTTTTCAATATATTTTCCCTTTCAATCCAATCAACTCTTTATGACAACTGACACAAAGACAACTGAGAAAGGTATTAAAAATGAAAGTGATAATGAAATTTGCTACAAAAAGTCTCTCAATTCATGACTGAAATCCTAAATTCAAAGCAAGACAACCAGAGTAAAATTCTTCTTTTGTACTACCATATTCAAAGTTTTATAACAAGTTTTACATTTTCAGTACAATGTACATTTATACATTATTAATGTGTACAAATAATGGAAGTATTTTATTTCATCCAGTTGGGGGCGTGCCTGATAGTGGAGTAGAAAACCCTTTTTTTCAGGGACAGAAGGTCTAGGACGACTGAGTCAGGCACAGAACATTTTCCTTTTTTGAGGTACTACAATTTTTGAGAGTCATGTTGGCAGGCCTGCTAGCATTATTAAATACCTTTTGTGTTGTAATACACCATTCTGCCTGTGTAATATTTTGGACTAACTTGGAAAATACAGCGCCAAAGAGTTGTTGAGGTTTTTAAAAATTATACTGGAGTGCTTTAGAGGAAAAAAACCATTATAGGAGCAATGAGAATATAATATCACTTGTAAATGGATAACGTATTTAAAAGTATTTGTAGCATTTGTCTTTTAGTACTACATCTCTTTTTAATCAACCAATAGTCGAATGAAGGCTAAAGCTGCAGGACTCTGAAAGGAGTAGTTTTCATTTGTAAACATTTCCCAGTGATAGTGAAATACTAACAGCTTTCATAATGATTTTGACTAACACGGTCTTAGAAAAAGACGTACCTTTTTAGGGGGTAATACCCATTAGTTATAAAATCTCTGAAGAGTTACAAGATGTTTGTGATATGATGCACTTGTTACCATTTTTTCCAGAACAGAACGTGAGGAAATTTTATAGGTACTCTTTGTAACTACTTTGTATTGAACAGACAGTTTTAGAAAAGAAAGTAGTGGGGGTCTCATTCCATGTGTGATTTGGAGTAGAAAAGCAGCAATTGTTCTTTAGTCTTTCAGCCATGACCTGACCTTCTGTCTCTAAGACCAAAGAGCTATTTTACTTGGCCACCATCTGCACTCAAGAGAGAAATTTACATTTAACTTTTAAGGACTGGACATTTTGAGCATCTATCTGAAATAGCTACAATAATATTAAAGCACATTGAATTTTTAAGGTGTTATTTATGTATCATACAGTTCGCCATAACAAGGATGTTTCTTGGTTTGCAAATGGTATTCTTCATACTATAGTCATTTTGTTCGTATTTTAGTTAACCTGACTACTTGTGAGATGGGAATGTGGTTAGTACAGAGCTTTTCTGATGTGTGCAAAATAGGGTGGATGACTGGCCACCAAGATGAGTTTCCTCATGGCCTGAGCCCTGACTCTGGCATCATTAGAAAGGTTAGCAGAGTGACAATGGCAGTTTCTCCCACCCACATCTTTTCTTTCTTAAATTGTGTCAGGAACTGATGAGTGAATTATCCTTTCCATCAACTCTTTTGTGTCTCTTCAGCTGAGAGAGCTCCTGACAGCCTCAGAGAAAAAGAAAGGAAAGGAAAGGAAGAAAAAAACCCCAAAACCAACAGTTGGCATGGAGGAGAATGAAAAATTTGCACCTTGACTTTTATTAGGAAATTTTTGCAGGCTATAAGTACACATACACACACTTATACACCCTCATGGGCATTTGAGCACATGTGAGGGAAGACTGTAATAAATGCCTACACTTCATTTCCATCACCTGTGCGCCTCATCTTGCCGCTAGCACTCCTCGTGAAACACGTTCCTCTCTTAGCTCCTGCATCTTCCTTGTTGCTTTCATCTTTTGTCATCTTCTCCTTTTCCATCTTCTCTTCATCTTTTACTTCTTCTTCTTCATCTTCTCCTTCTCTATTTCTTTGGAGAAATATTTAAAGTAGATCTCAGACATTATGTTTGTTATTTCACCCGCAGATACTTCAGTGCATATCAGTGAAGGATATTTTTTAGAGTCACTATTATCACACCTAGCAAGATCAATAATTCTTTAATAGCAAATAATGTCCAAGTCGTGCTCAAATTTCTTTGTCTCAAAAATGTTTGGCAGTGGGTTTATTAAAGTCAGGAAAATAGTTGTATTTTTGTGTTTATAATGCCCAGTATTACACTCTTTGAAAGGTAATAAAGGGAATTCTTAGTAAAATTTCAATGTTGTCTGTTGTATATTAAATTTCATACAGAATGTTTTGATCATGCATTATATTTTTAAGATGGTCATCATCATCCTGAGAAGTGAATTAGTAATTGCAATGCTGCTCCCATGTAGCATTGTTGATCATCATATGCCAAAATGCACCCCCTAGGGTTCAAAACCCAAAACACATCACTTTAGAGCCTTACATGTAAGAATTAAGAATCTGGGGGAACCCTGGCATTTCATGATTAGCTGACCTGAGTGAGGGGTGGACACTGGAATGCTTTTCTGCATCAACTTCCATTGTGGTGGTTGAATCATAAAGATTAACCTTTATAGCTTCTAACCTTTGACTAGGGCCCAGTGCAAAGTAAGGATAGGGCTCTTTGTTTGGAAAGCAGGAAAGTAGTGATGTTAAAGATCTGCAACCTATCTTCCCCCCCCACCAACCACATTGGTGTTTTTTATTTGCTAGTTACTTTCAGCTTTCTGAAGCACAGAGGAGAGAGCTAGCCCTCACACGTGCCTCGTAACTAGAGGTGCACATGTGCTACATCAGCTTCTCAGTTCTCTCCTCTAACCACAAGACCTACACACCATGCCTAATGGGTAGTGAGGAAAGTCAGACTCGTTCATCTCAAGGAGGTCAGACAGGCAACCCCCAAGAGATTGCAACCTCCACACTTGGACACTGAGTCCCCTGACTGTGCAGTGGTGTTGCAAGCCTGGGGCAGGGATGGCACCTCCATGCCCTGCCCTGAGATGCCATAGGTACACAAACTCAGTCCAGTCCATTCCCCCAGAGCTCATATCCAGACACAGGACAATAACAAAACTGGTAGGGCTGGTAGGGCTGGCTTCTGCCCTGTGTGGAGGCCACCAGAATGGCAAGGCAGGAGCAAGAAAGAGGAAGCTGGAGGATACCACCTTTCTGAGAACTATCCCAGTGCTCTATGGAGACAGGGGAACAACAAGACCATATATGTGAGCTGGGCTTCCATTGCTCATCAGATTGTGCTGACAAAACACAGTAAGATAAAATTGTTAAGAATATCAAGACGGTGACCACAGAGCCTTAAACTGTAAGTACAGGGCCCTCCTTTTCTTTGAGACAGGGTCTCAAGGTAGCCCAGGCTAGCCTTGGAACTCTCTACATAACCTCGGCTGTCCTCAAACTTGCTTTCCTCATGAAACTGCCAGGACTGCAGGAGCAGTGGCGGTGGCGGGGGCGGGGGATGGTGATTAAGAGGGGCAGAGGGGTGTTTTAGTGCCTTATATACACTCCTGCATGTACAGACATCTACACCTGTTTACCATATCCATGCACCCTGTGTCATTAAGAGGGTTAGCCAACTGCAGATTATATCCCCAATCTGGACTGCTGCCTATTTTTCAAATAAAGTTTTATTAGAACACAGCCACATTGTTTACCTATTGCCTGTTGCTACTTTCCTGCTAACAATACCAGAGCTAAGGAGGTGTGGCCATATAGCCCATATGAACCTATATGAGAGACCATATAGCCCACAAAGCCTAAAATACTTATTATCTAACCCTTTACAGAAAGAGTTTCCCACTCCCTCTCATATGTAGGGAAATACAACTTTGTAGTTTCTTCTGCCTTACTAGAATGCAGAGCTTTGAGTCTGAAGAGCATCAATCTTAAATCGTAACTTAATAGATAGCAAATGTGCTGCATCCCCCTGGTCGCTTCATCACTAACTTGTGTTGCCAAATGAATATATTTCATATATTAATGGCATGTAGCTTAATAGTGGCACATGGCCTAGATGAGAGTATAAATATAGCATTTTTTATTTACAATTTTGTTTTTACATTAGTAGCAATTATGTTTTTCAGATAAGAGTGGCAGAGCTTTTCTAATAGTATTGTATGTGTTATAACTTTGGAGTTGTAGCTACTATTGAGTAGGAAGTTACCTTCACGAAGTAATCAAAGTAAATACTT